ACGTTAATGTTGCTCATAACATGAATTTGCAGTTTGTTTACCCCAAAGTAGTTTTGTATGTAATTGCTGTAATCCAAATGGAATCATAATGGCTTTGAGATGGTGTATGTGTCTGTTAGTTTGTTAGGAAAGCAAATATAGCAATTAGCACCTCTTTAGGCCAACATTTAAACACCTATGCTATAGCTATACTTATTTAATGATTGGAACATAATCCCAAACTATGTCTTTCTCACACCAACAACATCATTCTTACATGTGAACTGTATCGAGTGCTTAATTGATTGCAAACAGGAAATAGAAAAGAATATAGTTTGATTATTGGTTAATCTATGAGCGATTGGAGGACAAACTATTTTGAGCCGGTGCAGTGGAAGTCCAGATGTGGTGGAATACTCGGGTCCAATCACGGATAAAGAAAAGAGATCTTTAAACAAGGTGCTCCGCTCTGCAAAGAGGACCATGGGCTGTGAGCTTCCTGTTCTGGAGGTTCTTTATAAATCCAGACTTTTAAACAAAGCTCTTAGGATTGTCAATGACTCTTCTGGCCACCCTGGGAAAGCCATGTTCCAGCTTCTTCCCTCTGGCAGAAGATATCGCTCTCTGAGATGCAGGAAATCTCGTTACGCTAACAGTTTTTATCCACAAGCTGTTATCAGTGTGAACAGAGCACTTTAATGATTTGCACTTGTTTTGAAACTGTTTTAGTCGATCGATTTCACAGTGACATTTGTTTACTGTTTTATTTGTTTTATTTTTGTCTTTTAATGTTATTTTATGTCTGTATTTGTCTATGCACACTGGTGACTTTTGCTAATGTATTCCAATGAGGTGTTTTTACTGCAAATGGCAAATAAACTGAATCTGAATCTGAATCAATGATAGTGCGATTTTACTTTGAGAGAAGGTGATGTTTGCTTGTTTTAAATTTGTGTGTTTTTGTGTGTTTGTGTGTGTGTGTGTGTGCCCCATCTCCTCCACTGGGCCGTGCAGAACAAAGCCGTTCCATTTGCAGGCGCGGTGGAGCCTGCAGGGAGAAGCCTGATCATAATTAGCTGAATGATGAGGCTCGGCGGCACCGTGCGCAGCAGGCCTGTGGCAGCTCCGTCTCCCTCTCCTCTCCCCATTTCTTTCTCTTCTCTTTTGTCTATTTTGGGACATTTCCTTCGATTCATTATCACCATATATTTCTCACCATCGCTCTGCTTTTATCATTTCTGTTCTTCATTACTTTCCTTGAATCTGACTCAGTCCATTTCCCCGATCTGTCACACACTGCTTTAATCTTTGTCGTTAGCTCAGAAGTTGAAAAGAAGAAGCGATGGGACAAGTGACTTTAAACTGTCATGCTCAGGATCAGACCCAGACGTTCATTTGCATAATCATCCGCCAATGTGTCAGCGCAGATTGAGAAATGCGAGTCGTGCACACAAAGACTTCTGATAATTGGCTGCATTCAACAACTTATTACTTATTAACCATTTCTTGATTAACTGTACAACACAGGGCGGATTTTGCATTTCTGTTTTTATTTCACATGCCGAGCTAAAACCATTGTCTTTGCAAATGGCTTTGTTGCAAATATTAATGTATTGGTTTTTTGTATCCCTTTTCTGAACACTCAAAACTATTTTTCATATACTCCGCACTCCATGGTTTGGAAACTTCACAGCCACAGCTGCCCTGACGGAAGCTAAACGACCACCACCAATCATCAAGGCACACACCAGACTTAAACTAGGCAATGTGGGTGAAGCGGCTTACCTAAGGACACAACACACAGGCACTTTACAGCCACAGCCAGAGCACTGTGGCACCTGTTTTTTTTTTTTTTCCAGACGTCTCTCAACACAGTACTGACCTAGCCACGCCCTGCTTAGATCTTGAACGTTACCTGGATCAGGCTGTGTATATTAGCTATTTTGTTGTATTGTTAAATTGACACATAGCCGACATTACTTTTATCTTATTTTCTAAGATATTATTAAGATGAGAATAATTGCACACGTTTTCTATCAACCGCTAAATGTATGATATTTTAGGTAAAGGTCTCCACAATGTCTGGTAAATGTAAATGTATAAATGTAATATATAAAACCAAAGCAGAAGAATAAGAGGACTCCCAGGGCCTTTACTGCACACCTTGTGGATTAGCCCTTTGTTGACATTGCTGTCTGTGGCATCATCTGTGTTTCATGATGTTGAGATTATTAATGACATCTGTTGTGAACAAAACCGTGCTTCTTTCCTCTTCCAGACACTGTACTCACAGGCAGCGTACATGAAAGAGCCCGCTGTAAAATGATCTGAGTTGTGTAGAAACGCTGCATCTGTCGCGCATCTGCAAGGAGAGGGCAGCCATTAGGAACTCCACAGGGCGCTCACTGCTCACAACATTCAACTTCAGAAATACGCCTGTTTCACGTTTCGATCGAAAAGATGTTTACTGATTCTGCATGTTTGTGACATATTGTTTCTGTGACGACAATGAAACTCCAATTAGGAGCTTAATCAGTTTCTATTTGATGGTGCAAAGAACCTGGCTGTGCAGCAGACTGTCACAAGTTGCAAAAAAACAAACAAAAAACTCAATACCAGGGGGACAGGGCCGGTATACGTCAGTTTCAAAATCACTGCAGAATTGCTCATAGTTGTAGTCTACTGTAGATGTGTTAAAGTATATTAGCATGTTTGCTTAGTATCTGCAATGTTTCTTGTGGAGGAGTTCTCTGCACTTGGGAGCAGTGGGCGTCAGGCAGCTGTGGCTCATGGGCCCTGGTGGGGTTTTGGGCCCTAAGAAAAAAAAAGTCTTACCTTATATTATAGTAAAAATCATTCCTGTTCAGTGATAAAAACCACACAATACTCAAAAACGACTGTATGAAACTGAAACCAACTTCTGAACAGGGAATAATGCACTAATATGTTGGTCCCATGTAATTGAGAGAGGGTTAAGGAGGCGTATCAAGTGTCTGCAAGTCCACATAAGATGCTGTAGGGAGCTGGTGCAAGCTCTAAGCATGCAGCCTATTGGGAGTGTATGGTGCGGTCTAAAAGTGGACCGTTAACTCGGCCTGCTGCACAGTAAGCATGCAACGGGGAAGATTTTTGGAATGTGTCGGACCATCAAGCCGACAAAACACAAAACAAAACGCATTCCTTTCCAGGTGTTGACAGTGTGGCTGCCTCCCTTGTTGTTAGCTAGCACACCCATTGCATTTTTGTACATATCATATCAAACTTTATTACAGACTCAGGGTCCAGGATAAGACACATAACACATAACACACATCACATAAAAACACAAAACAACACATATAATCACAACAATAAGCCTCACTTCTCAGAGCAAACAGCTGTACCAGTGTCTCCACAGATCTGACTGGTACCGCATGGCACTGAATTTGACATTTGTCAGGCTTATGACAATACAATTCTGGCTTTCATTGAGCCGACAAATAAAACTGTACATCAAACATCGCATGGCGGCCTGGAATGTCCTTATTCCAGCTGACACAAACAAAGTACTTGCACTTTCCCATCGTGGCTTTTTCAATAAAATCCTCAGACAGTCATTGTATGCCACATTGAGTTTGCGGATGGTTGCTTTTTTGTATTTGGTCCATAAATGTGCCGTGTATAATGACGTACAGTATGCTTTAAAAAGTGTCTTTTTCACCTGCGCTGTACAGGCACCAAACTTGCGCACCAGCATGTTCGCCTGAACGTACAACATACGACATTGCCTGAGAATGTCCTCACCATCAGACAGATCATCACAAATAAAATGGCCCAAGTATTTATATTTGGAACATACACTTAGTTCAACACCACACAATTTAAATTGGGGAAAGTTTACATTTACATCATCTTTAGTTCTACATAACATTATCATACTTTTGCTTGCATTATACCTTACATCATACTCTACACCATACTTAGAGCAGACATTGAGAAGGTCCTGTAGACCTGCACTACTAGGGCTGAATACAGCAAGGTCATCCGCATACAACAGATGATTCACCTGGATTGGCCCAATCATACAGCCCGTTTTACATGCACTTAACTCTAAGGACAGATCATTCATATACAGGGAGAATAAAACAGGAGAGAGAATTCCTCCCTGCCGGACACCATTACTAACAGAGAATGGATCCGACATGGATCTACCCCATCTCACCTGCATTACCTGATGGGCATACCAGTATACTAAAACTCTCACAATATAACGAGGCACCCCTCTCTCGTTCAGCTTTGAGAATAATTTCCAGTGATTTACCCGATCAAATGCTTTAGATGCATCGATAAAACACAGAAGAACAGATGATGTTTGACTTTTATATTTTCTTATTATTTCCTTGAGAGCAAATATGCATAAATCTGTACCATGTTTAGATTTAAAGCCAAACTGGTTGTCTGTGGAGCAGATATAATCTTGTAATCGAGATAACAGTATTTTCTCCAAGACTTTAGACAATATGCTTGCCAGTGCGATTGGTCTATAATTGTCCAAACTACCCATTCTACCAGCTTTATCCTTTAAGACTGGGACAAGCGTGACAGAGAGAAGTGAGTATTGCTGTATTGTTATATCCTGTTTTGTATCCCCTTTGTTCGTGTTGTAGCCACTATTGCATTAGGAACGAAATGAAAATGCGTTGACATCTCTGTGCTATTGCTATTGCATTAAAAAAGTGTGGACAGCGGACCAATTGTTTAACCAGTTTTGAAAACGACAGGTGGGGGAGTCATTCTCAGATGTTGCGTCAATCTTTCAACTATTTTATGGAACTTGTTGCACCTAACGGCACAAGGCCACAACTCTCGACAGCCACTGGAACCCAGCCCTGGCAAATAGTTTAGGTGCCCACGTCACTCAGTGTGAAAGGATTTTTTGGTCGTGTAAAAAACACCCAACACTTCTTCATGACTCTCAGGATGTAGAATCTATATTTTCTTGCGAGAATCAATGCTATTGTGTCAATGTTATTGGGAGATTTTTACAAGCTGTTTTGTTCCTCGGGCCATTCGTCGGTCATTCCCTTCACCACTCTGCTCCAGTGCCGGGCTCCTGTAACTTCCTCTGCTGTAGATCTGCACAGCAGCAGAGCGCACATGGGCAGATGGCAGCCCCTCGGCCCTCGCTGCCAGGGAAAGCATGTGAATTAAAGGTTATACCCAGCAGGTTTGAAGATGCGCCAGCCCAACCGCACAGCAGCAGAAGAGGGTGGAGTAGGTGGGGGAGGGGTCCTGGCCCACCTGCCTCCTGGGCCTGGGGACATCTGGCTGGGGTTTTGTGGTGGAATGATGAGGGCTCTGCTGCCAACCACCTCCACGAGCACCACCAGTGTCACCAGGACGGAGGGAACGTGCCGAGAGCAGAAGCCGTCATCTGTTCACTTTTTGAGCCGCAAATGAACAAGTGAGAGCAGCTCCGTCTGTCAGTGCATCTGGGGACTCCCATCTTTTCTCTCGAAGCCCCCCTCCGTCAAACAGAAACCTCTGGGAACCCACTCATCTTTTATTCCAATGTATGAAGTTCTTGCATTCCAAATAATGTGTCTTTTCTGCAGAAATCACCTCATCAAAAGACTCCCTTTGAATTTGTTTCTATTTCACCATTTCTTTCCCTTACTTGTCTTTAGAGCTCCATCCTCAACTGTTCTGATTCTGTCTGCGGTCTGCAGGTTTGTGCAGTTTTGCCAAGTTTGTCCAAATCTGTAGAACTTGACTGGAACAGACATGTCACTGTTGAAGACTTAGCAGCCTGTCTCAAATCTGCCCCTAATTCCTTCACAATATGTTTCCCCTTGTTTGCTTTAGCTGGCAGTGGAGACTCGGCATTAGTGGCCGAGTAGCTTCACAGATGTTGCGGCGTATTCCTGGATCTCAATCAGGCAGCAGTACACGTTATGACCACCTTGGGGAGCCAGTCATGATTAGAAATGCAGTGGCTGGATACAATATGTCCAGTATGCCAGAACGCCATAAGTGCTGATATTTTATTGATGATTACAGGAGACAGGAGAAAGGGGAAAATGCAAGAAAATGTTGGTTTTGATATGTTTGTTTTTCACCTCTATAGTTCCATCAATCCATCCATTTTCTTCCGCTTTATCCGTTGCCAGGTCAAGAGGGCAGCAGTCTAAGCAGAGACACCCAGACTTCCCTATTCACGAACACCTCCTCCAGCTCATCTGGGGTAATCCCAAGGCATTCCCAGGCCAGCTGGGAGACATGGTCCCTCAGCGTGTCCTGGGTCTTCCCAGGGGTCTCCTCCCAGTGAGACATGACCAGACCAACTATCCAGGAAAGCGTCCAGGAGGCATCCGAAACAGATGCCCGAGCCACCTCAACTGGTTCCTCTCAAAGTGGAGAAGCAGCTTCAAGTTTGAAGGAAGGAACTGGGGCTTCGCAGTTTGGCAATAAAGATTTCTTTTCCCCATTTGGATGATTTTGACTTCATATCCATTTCAACCAAAGTAAAAAAAATCTAAACCATCCCTAACAATCATGAAAGTACTGTACAGACGCAGACATAATCAATGTTGTGCCTTTTCTTTTTGTGGACTGCCCTGTTGTACACTTGCTGTACCACTCGGCTAAGCTCCAGAGGCCCTGAGAAGCACGAGTATCTCACATGACGTTGCAAGATCGTATAATGGACCTCCAATATACGATCTTGACATTTCTCACATCTTCAATTTTCAAAAAGGTCAATTTCTATGAATACATCAAATGTATCGTCCAGCTCTGGGAGGAACTACTGCATCTATGCGCTATCAACAAGGATGGATGTTTTCAGACCAAAAAGTACATTTCAAATGTAATCCTCGCAGCTCCATCGTGGCAGGGGTAATGCAGGAAACAGTGGCTGAGACTCACCTCTGACCTGTGCAGAGGCCAAACCCATTAGTGATATGAGAGTGAAAGGTGTTAATGACTTTTCAACCACAACTGCAGAGCGGTGCAAGTGCTCCAGCTGCGGGACTGTCAACAAGTGATACTGAGTTTTCTGTCCAAGCTTTTCCTACATGCACCACACACTGTTTTCCACCCACTGCCCCATGTTCTCTGACCTATCTATACATCCTCCTACACTGAACCGCGGCATGGAGCCAGGGCACACGCCGCGCGGCTGGAGCGAGTATGAAAAGATGTTATTTAATGAAAAAAGACAAAACAAATGTTGAATTTCCTATTCTCTATACACTTAGCTGTGAGTGGTCCTAATCTGAGTAATCTAGCACAAAACGGTAAATGATTACTTACTGTATAATCGCAACTCTAACATTTGCCAGTCTGGTGTTAGCACTGTGAGAATGATAACTACAACAGCTTTCTACAGGCTCAGCTATAGAGTAGCTTGTGAGTGTGGACATCATGAAAAATGGCAAATGGTCACATTTATTTAGCCCTTTTCTACCTTTTCCATTGGATTTCAAACACTTCAGAATAATTAACCAATAGCAATACATGTAAACAAATCCTCTTATACTGTATCTTTCAATCCTTACCCTTTTACCCATTAGCTCATTCTTACAGTTTCTGTTTGTCTGTTCTGTGTTGTGTCTGTGTAGGTTTCCTCCGGGTGCCCTACTCCGGGTCCCCTACCACAAAAACATGCACAATAGCTATGAATGTAAATGAGAGAGTGAATGGATGATGTTGATTGGGAGCTGATGGTCCAGTGTGTTCGGCGACTCGTTTCTGTCATCACCGTGTGTGGAATGATTGGAACAATATCTCTGAACATTGTAAAGCGCTTTGGGTGACCTTGGTCTGTAAAATGCGCTATATAAATAAACATGACTTACTTACTTACATAATAAATGATGTAGTAAATGATTCAAACCTCCAAATTTTTCAGCTCAGAGGACACAGGACTCAGCTCCTGCCGCCTCATATTCTTCTTTCCCACTAAACTGTTTGCTGCACATACAAAGCACATACACAGTTGATATCTTCAACCTTGAATGAGCATATTTAAAAAACAGACACAATCACATGTAGCTCTCTGTAAGCGATCTCACCACAGATCCCACTCTCCACTTTGCTACTGTCCACTTTTCCGAGAGCCTTGCCATTGTTCCTGTGGCTCTGTAAAAGCACTCAGACGGCTTCAGTGTCATGTGGGGGTTTGGAAACAGAATGACAAATAGACGGACAGCGTGAGTGTGATGGGAGAAGCATGGACTGATTTGTCTAGAGGGTGATACATTTAAAGACATTTTGCTTGTGGAAAGAACATGACATGTCAGTAAAAACAACTGATTTCAGACATACTGCTGTTTGAAATCTCCCACAGAGCTGCATGTTGCTTTTCCCTCATTTACATATCTTCTCTGTCATTGTTTATGCCGCGTCAGATTCAAGCTCGAGGCAATTTTAGCAGCAATGGTGTTATATTCTAATATGATTGAAACACGGTTGACCCCGCCTCAGGGTTGTTTGTTCACACATATGAAGTTTTCTATCAGATCTCGACCCATGACGACTGCAGTCTGTAAACAGCCCCCGTAGCACTGATCTGTCTGCTGTCATCGCGGCACTGGCACTCCAAACCAGCACTGCCACGTCTGTCACCAGCTCCGGAGCCTCGAGGCCAAGATGCATTACACACAATATGGAAGATCTCGGTTATTAACGCCGACAAGCCTGCAGAGATTGTCTTTGTAAATGTCTTTTGAATCCAGATTTGCCATAATTGGCTTGCATCTTAACGCTAGTCTTTGTTGAATGTTGCTTTGTTTTTGGCCCAATGTTTGGCAGCATGAAGAACCTCAGAAGTCCGAGAACCGCTTGTTCTTGCCGATGGATTTTAACGTTGGCAAATAATTAAAAAAGTTTAGAAAAAGTAATGCAACCCACAAGTAAACTTGGATTGGATCCATTCTTTTTGGATCATTTAATAGTTCAGCTCATGTTTAAAGCAGTGGGGGCGGGTCCTGGCTCAAAAAGGTCCATGAGCTCACGCGCTGACATGTTTGCAAACCAAGCCCCGGCAATTCAAGATGGCGCCATATTCAAATGAATGGAGAGATTATCAGAACTCACCTATATTTGGGAATCGTCTGGTCCTCCCGGGTTCTGCGCAGTGGACGAGCTCCCATGATGCGTTGTACCAAATACACGTGTGTGTCTCTCATGCACGTGCACAGAGGGGTTCAGAATCAGAATCAGAATCAATTTATTTGCCATTTGCAGAAAAAAACTACATTGGAATACAAACAGGAGACACCGGGGGCACCACACAACAAAGCACAGAAACAAAATAAAATAAAAATAGCGAGACACAGTGAGGCACATATACTGTAAAACTCTTAAAAGCATTATTAAGACGCTACGATGGAGCTACAAGAGAAGCAGATCTCAGGACGCTCTATTCAGTCTTATAACCGCCTGAGGGAAGAAGCTATTCGCATGGAGGGTGGTCCTGCACGGCACGGACCGGAATCTTCTCCCCGAGGGAAGAGGCTGGAACAAGGCCTCTCCAGGATGACCAGAGGAGTCATTTACGATCCTCAGGGCACGGTTCAAGAGTCTGCTCTCATACAGAGCCTCCAGAACGGGCATCTCACGGTTCACAGTCCTCCGAGCAGAACGAACCACTTTGTTCAGAGCTCTCTTTTCTTTGGCAGTGATGCTGCCGAACCACACGGTGATCGCACCAGCAAGCAGGCTTTCTACATGGTGCAGCGGTAGAAGTTCAGCAAAATCTTAGAGTTATTTGTAAATTCTCTAAGTTTCAGCAGAAAGTATAGACCAGGGGTCACCAACGCGGTGCCCGCGAGCACCAGGTCGCCCGCAAGGACCAGATGAGTCGCCCGCTGGCCTGTTCTAAAAATAGCTCAAATGGCAGCACTTACCAGTGCTATTCTTGTTTAAATCATACTTACATGCAACTTACAAATGGCATATAAACTAGAGCCGGGACTTTAACAAGTTAATAAAGATTAATTAATTACACACAAAAAAGCGCGTTAAAAAAATTACGCATTTTAATTGTATGTATTTTTGCACCGCGGAACGTTCCTCACTGAATAAGTTTCAGACGGACCAATTGAACTGACGCACCAACCGGAGCTCCGTGACTTTTCTTGTTCAAAAGTACATTATTACAAGCAGAGACCAACTTTAAATTCGAGTAAATTAGACGGGAATGAGCGCTGTGTATGGAGCGATGGACTCTGTGTGTTAGGAGGAGGTGCAGTGACTCCTGTGTGAGTGGAGGAGGAGGAGAAGGAGAAGGAGGAGCGAGACACAGGTGTGTGAGCTGCTAATGCTGATGTTTACTCCGAATGCACACATCAAAAACGTATTATAAAAGCTTTAGCAAACAGCGCATGCCCAGCTTTAGTGCTCACAGCGTGTGCAGTGGATTTTGGGCTTAAAAAGAGTATGTTGTCGTCAGTGTGAGGAGGAGGAGGAGGAGCATATGTAGTCGTCAGAGTGTGGAGGCAATGACAGAAACGTTATTTGATGTTTAGAAGTTATCCCTTAAACTCCATATTAACATGTGTTGCTTAAGCCTCATTCAGTCATTATTCAATGGTAAACTAAAAATCCATGTGAAAAAAATTACTTCTCACTGTTCTCAGGTCAAATATTTATATGCGATTAAAATGTGATTAATTGCGATTAAATGGGACTGTCTTAGAAGTGATCATTTGTTAAATTTGAAAAATGTGCACTTAGAGAAAATATAAAAGTTTTTCCACAAAATAAATATCATTATTATTAGTAAAAACATAGAATTAAAGGTAAATTGAGCAAATTGGCCATATCTGGCAATTTATTTAAGTGTGTAACAAACTGGTAGCCCTTCGCATTAATCAGTACCCAAGAAGTAGCTCTTGGTTTCAAAAAGGTTGGTGACCCCTGGTATAGACGTTGGCAAGCTTTCTTAACAATATGGTTGGTGTTTTTGTCCCATCTCAAATCGTTGGACAAAATTAGACCAAGAAACTTACAATCCTCAACAATCTCCACCTGAGAGTTTTCAATGACCACAGGTGAGTGGGAGAGAGAGTGACCACGACTGAAGTCGAACACCATTCCACATGTTTTGGACGTGTTCAAGAGGAGGTTGTTGTCTTTACTCCAGTTGACAACATTCTCAACCTCTGCTCTGTATGAAGATTCGTCGTTCTCACTGATAAGACCGATAATGGTGGTGTCGTCTGCATATTTAATGATCAGATTTGAGTTAGAAGAAGCAACACAGTCATGGGTGTACAATGTGAAAAGCAGAGGACTCAGAATACACCCCTGAGGAGATCCGGTGCTCACAAACGCTTCATCTGAGAGACGGCCACGGATTCTAACTCTCTGAGATCTGCCGGTGAGAAAGCTGTAAATCCATTTACACATGGCTTTGCGCAGTTAAAAGCAAAGATGTAATCAATGAACAGCATTCTGGCCAGAGATTTATCATTGTCCAGATGACTGTACACAGAGTTCAGTGCAAAAGAGATTGCGTCTTTCGGCCGCGCTCTGACCAATCAGCGCTGATGATCAGAGAGGAGTTAGAGCGGGAGTGAGAGCGGGTGCCAAGCGAGCAGAGTTTGTGGCAGTAAAGTTGGGATTTAAAGAAAACCGAAAGATTTAAGAAGAAAACAAGTTAAGGATGAAAAGAGACACTAAAATCCCCACAAAATCCAACTTTTGTGAAAGCTGTAGGTTCTCTGTCAGCTGAGATCGAGCTGTTTTAGTTTACATTGAGTTCTATGGGGAAAATTTCTGGGTAGCCCACGAGAATTTAGTCTTGTTTAGTCTGAACAACCGAGAGAAGGCCCCGAGCACATGCGGCCTTCAGCTCCAAGCTAGGAATACCCTATTCAATTATTATTATAGATCCATGTTGCAAACTCACTCCTTGCCGGTGGGGGTGTACCCGGAAACAGAAATATC